CCTTTTGCTCTTGATGCTTTGCTGTCTTCGGCTGTCATGAACAGTTGCCCCTCTGCCATGTGCCACCCCACCTTAGAGCCAGCTGAGTTCAGCCAGCTGAAACCTCCACAGATCATAAGCTAAATAAACCTTTCCTCCTCTAAATTTGAGTGTCGGGTATTTTGTCTCAGCAACAAGAGAAAGGTGACTAAGACAAAGGTCCCTAAGGCTAGATTTAGATTTTGTTTTGTTTTGTTTCAACTTTGCTAATTTGTCTAAATGAGGACAGGTCCCTCAACCAGCTCAAGTGGTCCTTTATTCTTTGGTACCTTGGAAAATTTTCTTACTTTCTTTGGCTTCCAATTATATGTCTGTCCTTTTAGATTGGGAGTAGCAGAAAATGAACGTAAAGGTGATAGATAATAAAAAGGCTAGATATAACAAATTGTAAAATGGATTCTAAAGTATTAAAGTATATTTGATTGTTGGAACTTGGAACTTCTTACACCCAGCAAGAGTTACTGATACGATGTCAGAACTCACTGAAGAGGTCAGTTACTTGGGTTACATGACTGTGAGACATGCGGCTTCCTTCTGTATCTCTTGACTTTATGTGTGTATTTTAAATTGTAAGATTTGTTCTTTGTAACCTTCCCTTATAATTGTATCTACAAGAGTACTATTTTGCATCCTTACAAAACATTTTTATAAATTTTGCTATTTTTATGTACTACCATATGGTAGTATATCTACCATTGCAGTGTTTTGCCCTCTAAATCACCTTGTTCTTTATTACTCAAAATATTTTAAAAGAGAGAGTGTAATTACCAAATTAGAAACTAAATAATTTACAAAACAAGACAATAAAAATGTTAGTTAAGGGCCAGGGATTTAGCTTAGTGGCATAGCACCTGCTTGACAGGCCTGAGGTCATGAGTTCAATTCTCAGTACTAAAAAATAAAAAATAAAAAAATAAAATAAATAAAAATAAACTCAGTTAATTCTAGATCTGAATTGGGGCTTACTGAAAGCAGATAACATGTTTGGAAAGAGACTAAGTACTGAAAGACATGCTAACACTATACTGCAACTTTGTCTTTACAATAATTGGAAATACTCAAATAGAATTGAAAATAACTTTTTACTCTATAATTTTGTTTTGTTTAATATAAACACCAAAATAATAGATGAAAACTTGGTGAATACCATATACTAGCATTAATGATAAACTACCTCATGGCAAGTGTTGTTTCACTCACACCTGCATTCCTCTATTGATGTTTATTTATTTTTTTTATTTTTTAATTTTTTTTGGTACTGGGAATCAAACTCAGGATCTCACCGTTGCCAGGCAGGCGCTGTGCCACTGAGCTAAATCCCCAGCCCCCTCTATTGATTTTTAAATAATTTCTTGTTTTGATAATAAATTCAAATTTAGAGAAGTTACAAGAGTAGTACATGGGCCAGGCCTGGTGGTGCATGACTATAATCCCAGCACTAGGTAGGCTGAGGCAGGAAGATTGCTGTGAGTTCAAGGCCAGCCTGAGCTGCATAGTGAAACCCTGTCTCAAAAAGACCAAAAAAAAAAAAAAAAAAAAAGTCGTACATGGAAATTCTGTATACCTGTTTCCCAGAAGCACTGATTATGTTCATTTTGTGCTGCTGGCTTTACTATTTCTCCACACAAGGTATAATTGGTCCTTTTATTACATAATACCTGGATTTATAAAAATTACTGTACTGTGCAGAATTGTGTAGTAAAAGCCCACAGGGCTTATGGAATATAACACTCAAAAATTTAATTAGTGATACATAAAAAAAGAAGAACTTAATAAAAACAGCGCAGTTTTACATGTTAAATTGTTAATACACAAAGCCAGTTGTGGTGGCACACACCTGTCGTCCTAGCACTCACAAGCCTGAGACACGAGGATTACTGCAAGTTCAAGGCCAGCTGGGAATACATAGGGAGACGCTGTTTCAGAAACAAAGATGAAGACACAAATACAGTAAATATGATGGTTTATTTTGAAACAGACCCCAAATTGGCTTGTGGAAGTGGACATTGGGTAAAGTGTTCCACTTGTGAGTTACGGTGTAATGGTAAACAAATTTGTTAGTTAAAATTTGGGGGAAAATTTAACTGCAGTGGCTATGGCTCATGGTGAACTGAGATAGTTGGTGAATGTGTGAGGGTGTTTGTTCACTCAGGAAAATTATACATCTTTTTTCAAAGTTTGGTTTGGTTGACTGTAATTTCCTCCTTTCATTTAAGGAAACCTTTTGTTTCTTTGTAGGTGGAACTGCATGTGAGCAAATGTGAAATTCATGTCATGCTCACATTTACTTCTAATATATGAGTCACGTGAAGCAAATTTGTTTTCAGAACAAACAGTATAGCACAACTGATCCTTTTTCTCCTTACAATTATTTATATGAATATACTTTGAGACTGTGTATATTCTGTTCCTCATGAAACTGCCAAGTACTTCAAGAACCATTAATGAGGGGCTAGAGCTGTAGTTCAGTGGTAGAACACCTACCTAGCATGTACAAGGCCTTGAGTTCAACAGTATTGTCTCATGGTGCGTCCATTTTCCTACAGATAACTCAAATTATCTTTCTTTATGGTTAGAGTAGGACTGCATTGTGTATAAAGATCACATTTTCTTTATCCATTCATCCCTTGATGGTCATATAGGCCACTTCCAAAGTTTATCTATTGTGAGTCATGCTATATAAACGTGAGTGTACATGTATCACCCTAATATGATGTCTTTAACTCTTTCAGGAAGATACCTAGGAGGGTAATAGCTGGGTCAAATGGCATTAGTTTTAGTTTTTTGAGGAATCTCTGTACTGATTTCCATAATGGTTGTACTAGTTTACACTCCCACCAACAAGGTAAAAGGGTTCCTTTTTTCCCCCCGCAGCCTCACTGGCATTTGTTGTTACCTGAATTTTTGATGATGACCATTCTGTCTGGAGTAAGATCGATTAAATTTCAGTTGTGTTTTAATTTGGATTTCTTTACTAGCCAGAGATGTTGAACATTTTTTCATGTACTTATTGGCCCTTTGTATTTTGTCTTCTGAGAAGTATCTTTGTTTCGGTTGCTCATTTTTGATTGGGTCTTTTATTTAGGGGGCCTAATTTTTTTGAGTTCTTTGCATTTTCTAGATTTTAGTTCTATATCTGAGGAATATCTAGCAAAAATTTACCCATTCTGTAGGTTGTCTGTATCTTCATTCTGTTGGTCGTACCTTTTGCTGCGCAGAGGCTCTTTAATTTGATATGATCCCATTTATTGATTCTTGGTGTTATCTCCTGTGCAGCTGAGGTTCTGTTCAGAAAGTCTTGCCTTTGCCTATGTCGTCAAGAGTTTTGCCTATTTTATCTTCCAGCAAATTTTCTGTTTTAATATTTAGATCTTTGATCTGTTTTGATTGTAGTTTAGTACATGGTGAGACATTTGGCTCTAGATTCTTCTGCATGTGGATAGCCAGTTTTCACAGCACGATTTGTTAGAGACTATCTTCCTTCCAGTGTAAGTCTTTGGCCTCTTTGTCAAAGATCAGGCAGCTGAATGTGCTTGGAGTTTCTGCATCCTGCATTTTGTTCTATTGATCTTGATTTTGTGTCAATACTGTGCTGTTTTTATCATTAGAACTTTGTAATACGACTTCAAGTCCAGAATTGTTATACCTCCTGCCTTGCTCTTGCGGCCCGGTATTAGTTTTGCTTTTCTAGATCTCTCCTGATTTCATTTGAATTTTAGGGTGGTTTCCTGTAGTTCTCATAGTGATAGAAACTATTGTGAGGGAAACTATTAGTGTTTCAATTGGGATTGCATTAAATCTGTGTATCAGTTTTGGAAGCGTGGCCATTTTGACTATATTGGTTTTGTGTATCCAGGAAGAAGATATCTTTCCATTTTTTGATGTCCTCTTTGATATCTTTTTTTAGAGTACTGTAGTTTTCATTGTAGAGGTCTTTTACATACTTAGGTTAGTTCCTGGGTATTTAATTTTTCTTGATTGTAAAAGATACTTGATTTGTTTTCTTAAGCTTAGAGCAGTGCTAACAAACCTTTTAGAGCTTTCAGTGAAACAAGCAGCCCACCGCAGCACACATGCTATACCTTTGCCATCATTGGCCTGGAGAGTTCTGAAAGCGGTTTTTATTTATTTTTTAAAATTTTTAACTTAATTTTTAAAAATAAATGTATTTTAGGTATACATAATGATCACATTCATTATAAGGAATTTATACCTGTACATGATACAACTTGATTCTTTTTTTCCCCATTCCTCTACCTTCCCTTTAATCCTACTTCTTCTTACCTACAAAAGCTTTGTTTCCATTGTTTTCTTCTTTTCTCATTTTTTTTCTTTTTCTTTCTTTCCTTTCCTCCTCCTGCCTCCTTAGTTCCTCTTCTCATTTGAACATTTTCTTCCTATTTCACAATATCTATAATATATTTTGGTCCTTATTTACACTTTTGGTTTCTCATAACAGAGAAACAACACGGTATTTACATGTATCCAATTTATATGAAAGCACTTTTTAAAATTGCTGATAGGCACCACCATGAAATTCCTCCATTCCAAATTTCCACTGTGCCTTTCCTTCATATCTCTCAACATTGTTTTTTTAGTGTATAAATTTACACATCTTTTGTTAAATGTACAATTGAATGTGTAATTTTAAAAATGCACATTAAAAATGCACCTTGTGTTTACTACTAGAAATTAATTTCTAAAATTTGTTATATTCTTGCTGGCTTATAGACGTACAGTTAATACTTTTTATTTTGGCCTTATATCCTGTGACATTGTTGAATTCAAGCACTGAATTTTAGTAGTTGCTTAATAGAGTCCATCTGTATCTACTGAAATGACTATGTTGCTTTTATACTTTAATATGATAAATTAGATTGCTGAGATTTTTTTTGTCATATCAGTCTGACATTCCTTATAAACTCTGATTCATATAACACATTCATATAACACATTCATATATTGCTGGATTCTGTTTGTGGTCATGGGAAGTAGTAGTATGTGGTCTTTGTAACATTTTTGTCACGTTTAGGTATCAGGCTTATGTAGTATAAAATGATTTATAATTTTGATATTATTGCTTCTTTACCTATTTTAAGGAATTTACTGGTGAAGACATCTGAGTCTGGAGTTTTCTTTAGAATTTTTTTTTTCATAGCATATTCAGTTTCAGTAATAGGTGTACATTCACTACAAATTTTCTGTTATATTGTTTCATTAAATTTGTTTGTTTTGGTACTAGGAATCAAACTCAGGACCTTGTGCTTGCCAAGCAGACACTTATGCCATTGAGCTATATCCCCAGTCCCCATCAAATTTGTTTTTAAGGAGTATTTCTAGTTCATCTAAATGTTTTTGGCAAGTTTTTCATAGTATTATCTTTCTAATGTTTCTAGGATCTTTCAGTATTAAGCTCATCTGTGAATTTTTCATTTCATGTACTATATATTTTGGTTCTAGAATTCCAGCTTCTCATTTTATTCTTTCTTTTTGCTTTTGAGATTCTCCCTGTATGTGTTCATTATGATGCAGTTTTCTTGAGCATACTTGATAACCACTTTAAAGTTCCTACCACTTAATTCCAACATTTAAGTCTTTGTGATGTGGTATCTTTTGTCTTCACTGCTTTTTCTGTTGACTATGGAGGCATTTTATTCATCTTATAGCTAGTAGTTATTTACTGTATACTGTAATCATGGCTAATACATTGTGGAAAGTGGATTTAGTTATCTCCTTCTAAGAAGACTAGAAAGTTGTTAAATTAGCTGGATTTAAACTTTAAACTCTGTATCTTTGCAATGGATAGCAATTGGAGGCTCTATTTCATTTTTTTGTTGCCTTTGTTTGTTGCTTTCTTTCAGCCTCTTGGAGAGTCAGCCAAACTACTCTCCAAAAATTTTCTTTATAGAGGATTTAAATAAGAATTTGTAAGCGATTTTGAGACTTACACTTCGCCACTCCTTCTAAGACGTACCCTCTCACTGTACCACCATTCGTGGCACCCCAGACTCAATACTGGCGTTCATGTAGCCAGACCACTGCATCTTCACACTGGAGGTACATTCCTGTTCCTGTATTCCACACTGGGAAACATTCAAGCCACAAGACACATAAACACAAATTTAACCTAGTGTTACTCTTTCCAGTGTCACCTTACCTCCAGCTTTGGTTTTTCCAGGCCTTCAAATTATTTTTTTTTAGAATTTTCCCAGTGTTTTTAATCATTATTAGCAGAAAAGTTAACCCAATAGAAGATGATTTGACATTAATGGAAGCATAGGTGTCCCCCTGTATTACTTTAAGGCAAGTCTCAGACATTCTAATTCATCTGAAAATATTTCAGTATATATCTGTAAAAGAAGTAGACTTTGTGTGAAAACAACTGCAGTATCATTACCACAGTAAAAAAATATTCTTGTAAGTATCATCACATATCTACTGTTTGAACTTCTGATTATTCCACAAGTGCCAGAAGGAATATGGTAGCTTTAAACATCATCTCAGTTGAGAATATGTGGTAATTAAAATAATACGTTCTTTCCCTATAATCAGGTTCGTGACAACAAAAAACTAAGAGTTAATGCTGTTATTGCTCCCAAGATTTCATATGCAGAGAAACCACCTTCAAGATCTCTAAATGAATTAAGGTAAGTCTTCAAAATACCATAACTAATTAGAGTATTTAGTAATCTTAAGTATTTTTTACTTACCTCTGTGTTGAACAATATATGTATTACTAGCTGTATTATTCTCCTTTAGGATCCCTGCTGAAGTCTAAAATAAGGAAAAATTCAGGTTCAGAAACACAACACATAGATAGTTACCATATGATGGATGGTTTCAGATCAGTACAGTATTGAACTATTTTATAAAAGATACTAAAATATTGGGACAATAAAACACAGATCATTACTTTATAATGTAAAAATAATTTCTGAGCCAGGTGTGGTGGCACACACCTGTAGTCCCAGCACTCGGGAAGCTGAGGCAGGAGGATCTTTGCGACTTCTAGACCAGCCTGGGCTACAAAGTGAGCTCAAGCCCAGCCTGAACTACATAGCAAGACCCTGTCTCAAAAAAAAAAAAAAAAAAAAAAAAAAATTCTGGAAAGACTAAATGTAAAAGTTGCAATTATAAACAGTTATAAATATCTTAATTCTGGGTATAAGTAGACATTCTTAATATAAGACAGAACAAATAAGAATTTAATAGTTTGTAATCATAAAAATTTCAAACTTCTGACAAGGAAGTAAATAGTACAAGTTATTTTAAAATGTAAAAACATGGGCTGGGGATTTAGCTCAGCAGCAAAAGCGCCTGCCTGGCAAGCGCAAGGTCGTGAGTTCGGTTCCTGGTACTGGAGAAAAAACAAAAAAAAAAGAAAACAAAACAAAAAAAAACAAAACAAAAATTTTCCTATATCATTGTTGAAATAATTTTTTTTTTTGTTTTTTGACCAATTATGAGCAGTCAAATTTTTTAATGATGTTTCAAAAAACAATCAAATCAATATTTTTTTCCAGACAGTATGGATTTTTCTCTTATTTGCGAGAGTTATTTGATGCACCTGAGCCCATCATGAGTTACCTTTGCTTCCAGTATCACATTCATGAAGTTCCTGTAGGAACTGAGAAGACCCGAGAAAGAATTGAGCGGGTAAGAAAGTACTGAATTCTTACTGAAACATAGTTGGATTAAAATTTCTCTCACAGTAAAGCAAAAAGTATATCAAAAACTTAAGTGTATTACTGTTTTTTTAAGCATGCAGATATTATATTTGTATTTAACTGAGTTTTCTTTTTTTGGTCTTTTTGAGACATAGTTTCACTTTTTTTTTTGGTCTTTTTGAGACAGGGTCTTGCTGTGCAGTTCCGGCTGGCTATGAGCTCACTTTGTAGCCCAGGCTGGTCTCAAACTCACAATAATCCTCCTGCCTCAGCCTCCCAAGTGCTGGGATTACAGGCGTGCGTCACCATGCCCTGCCAGAGTCACTTTTCAATCCAGACTGGTCTTAAGGCCTGGGGATTTAGCTCAGTGGCACAGTGCCTGGCTGGCAAGCGCAAGGTCATGAGTTTGATTCCTGGTACCAGGGGAAAAAAAAAACCAAAAAAAAAGCTCAGACTGGCCTTGAACTCATTTTGTAGTCCAGGCAGGCCTCAAACTCACAATGATCCTCCTGCCTCAGCCTCCTGAGTGCTGGGATTACAGACGTGCGCCACTACCCCTGGCTGTGTTTAACACTTTTAATATGATGTAAAAACTTGTGTTTTTGTTTTTGTTTTTGTTTTTTCTGGTATCGGGAATCGAACTCACAACCTCGCGCTTGCCAGGCAGGTGCTGTGCCGCTGAGCTAAATCCCCAGCGCCCCCATGTAAAAACTTGGCTACTATCTCTTTGTGAAAAATTGATACGATTTTAACTAGAATCACTACTTATTCTTTTAGGGCAGTTGAATAAAGTTAAAAGCAAAAAGAGACACTTGGATACTCTTATTCTGCCTTACTGGATAAATCTGTGTTCAAACATTATATTAATATACTAATACTGTATTACTGATATACTAATCATTTAATTCTTATATTCTAGTGCTCGCTTTGGCAGCACATATACTAATTCTTATATTCTAGATTATCTTTCAGATTACTTGAGAATGATAGGCTGGGGTAAACAATTATTTTGGTGACCCTCTCCTTAAAGCTTATAGTTAAGATTATTGCAATATATAAATAACTTTTTCATAGAATCTCATTTTCTTGGCAAGTATAACCATAGAAACTCTTAGTTCTTATATTTCTGCAAATTCTAGTTGGAATTTTTTTTTAACACAAGTAATCTCTGTCTCTGAACCCCTAGCAAAGGCAGAAACATAGAACTCTGTGCTAGAACAGGTTTTTCCATAACACACCAAACATCTGTATTAATACTGCATATAAATTCCTGGGAAGCACTTATAGACCTAAGTGCTGTTCATAGTGCTGAATTTATGCATTCATTCATTTAGCAGTACTGGGAATTGAACTTGAGCAACGTTACTTTTTTTTTTTTTTTGCTAAATTGCTCAGACTACGTGAATTTTTTTCGTTGTTTTTTGTTGTTTATTGGTAGTGCTGGTTTATTTTTTGAAATAGTATAGTTCAGCCTACCCCTGAACTCACTGTATAGCCCAGGGTAGCCTTAGATTTGCGGCAATCCTCCTGCCTCAGCCTCCTGAGTGCTGGCATTACAGGTGTGCACCACCATGCCCATTTTGTACTTACATTTATGATCCTCCTACCTCAGCCTTCCAGAGTGTTAGGATTAAAGGCATGTACCATCACACCTAGATTTTTTTTTTTTTTCCCACAACCATTTTACAAGTATTCCTAAGAGCATTCATTAGGGGTTCTCTTTACTTCACTAGCAGAAGATACAAAACTATTTTGTTAAAATAAATTATGTATAGCAAATTGCTTTTATCATTAGTTAAAATTATCATATATGGAGCTCACTTGTGGAAAAGAGAAACAGAGCCCTCCATATCGATGCGCTTCTGTGTCTGTCTATCTTCAGTGAGGTTTAGCAAAGAGAACAATAACTTAAAGGTTTAAATGAACTTAAACCTGATTATCCTGACGCCCGATCCAGTGCTGTGGTGTGTAAAACGCTTTGTGTTGAGATGTTTCTCACAAGTATACACATAGCAAAGCCACGCTCAGAAAGTGTTTTGAACACTTAACAGCCCAGTGTTATCTCGGACTTCTTTCAGAATATACAGACTTCTGTTGAGGGAATTGATTATATCCTCAGTCCTTCTGTTTCTTTTATTTTTTTATTTTATTTTATTTTTTTTGGTTTTTCTCCGGTACCGGGAACCGAACTCACGACCTTGCGCTTGCCAGGCAGGCACTTTTGCCACTGAGCTAAATCCCCAGCCCCTCTTTTATATTTAGATAAAGGAAGTAATCACTATATTTCTTCCCTAAAATAAAAATGTATTTTTTAGTATATGATTTATGATTAACTCAACATTTTAGATTCTGTGATAGTAGCACTATTTACAGAATTGTTCTTTCATTAATTTTTACAATTGCCCTTTGACTGAATTATCTGCTAAATTCCTTAGCTTGAGATGTCTTTTTGGTTGGGAATGCCCTTCCCTCACCATTTTTGTAGTGTAGATCCCATTTAAAACTTATTTTCATTGAACTTGAATAGGCTAAGCTCATGTAGTCTTTTTTTCTTTATTCCACATTACTCAGCACTTAGGATGGCAAGTTATACTTTGTTGATTAAATGTGCTCAAATAGTTCTTGTCTCCAGTTCCAACTAGTTGGGAGGCTGAGACAGGAGGATTGCACATTGAAGGCCAGCCTGGGAAACTTTTAGTGAGACTCTTACCTCAGAATTTTAAAAAAATGTAATAATAACAAAAGGGCCTGTGGTTGTAGCTCAGTAGTACAGTGCTTATCCAGCATGTGCAAAGTCCTGGTTCAGTTCCCTAGGACTGCAAAAGAAAAACAAACAAAAATAAGTCTCATCCCATTTCTTAAGCCCCAATAATATTGGTTATGAATTTTTGGAGATTGGGAAAAATTCACACCAACCACTCTTTTTGTTTGTTTTGCATTTTTGCAGCACTGGGGATTGAACCCAGGGCCTCTCCGCTGTATCCCCAGACGTTTTCATATTATTTTGAGACAATATCTCACTTATTTGCCAAGTTACCCATGCGAAGTTTAAACTTGATTCCTCCTGCCTCAAGCTCCCAGAGTGCTAGTATTATAAGTGTGCTTTACCACACCCAACACAGCAGCCACTCTAAATAAATATACAGATACAAATGTAATATTGTTAAGGTGTTCAGAATGCATTAGCTTATGAAACTCCTTGTATAAATTCCGGAGAGAAAAGATCTCAAAAAATTTAAAAAATCTTTGAAATCTATGAAAATGTTAAAGATGTTTTGATAATTATATTTTAATAATATAGTCAAGGAGGGACTGGGGATTTAGCTCAGTGGCACAGCGCCCTGTTTGGCAAGCGCAAGGTCGTGAGTTCAATTCCCAGTACCGGAAAAAAACCAAAAAAAAAAAAATATTGTCAAGGAGAAGAGAGTGTGAGTTACTTAACCTAGTTCAGCTGTTCCATCTGCTGGGCACCTGGCTTCTAGTGTCTCCCTTAGGTAGAACAGAGCCCCAGGTAGCTCATGAACAAGTGTAGCACCTTTGCAAGTGGTTTAGTTCTGTCCTCAGTCTTTCATCATGCTGGTTTTCAAAAGAATAACCTGAAATTTAACACCTTTTTAAAGATGTTATCTGGTAGGTTAAAATAAAGGAAGGATATATAATATATTATCTTCCAAAATTCACTTGGTTTGTATTTTTACTCTTTAGCCCTTCCTTTAAAATGTGTGTTATAATTTTTATTAGATGTTCATGAATTCTTGCTTTACATTGTAGGTGATACAAGAAACCCAATTAAAACAAGTTTATACAGCAGATGAAAAATATGTGGTAAAAACTTCTGTTTATTCAAACAAAGTTATTTCTAGTAACACATCGCTCAAAGTAGCCCAGTTTCTCACAGTCACTGTGGATCTAGAACAAAGACGACAGTTAGAAGAGCAGCTAAAGGTTGGTTAATTTTATTTGATTCATAGAAAAGAAACTGGATTTTTAATACTTAAGAATTTTATAAAAACATTAACGATTTTGAATATACCATAGGAAATTAATAGAAAATTGGAAGCAGTGGATTCAGGATTGATTGCCCTACGTGACACAAACAGACATCTAGAACACACAGACAATGAACTTAGACAAAAGAAGAAGGAGCTTCTTGAAAGAAAAACCAAGAAAAGACAACTGGAACAAAAAATCTGTTCCAAAGTGGGAAGGTATCTTTTAGCCTTTTAGGGGCAGGGGACAGGAGCCACTTGGGAGGTTACTGATTAAACTGTACTGACCGCACAGTTCTCACAGGCATATTTTGTAGTCATTCTTCTCTAAAGTTTTAGCTTTACTGCTCAACATACAATTTGATCCGTAGTGCAAGGGAGGGTAATTCTTAAGTGTTGTGAGTTACTTTGTTCCAGTCCCTGGACCTATTTAAATGCTTTAAAATGAGGACCCTGAAGAAGTTTTGTTTTTATGGAGTACTTATTTGTATTGGGATTTACCATGTTAGCTGGGCATGGGGGCACACACATGTAATCCCAGCACTTAGGAGCCCAAGGTAAGAGAATCACTGCAAGTTCAAGGCCAGCCTGAATGAACATAACAAGTAGTAGTTCAGAAAACGTGTCTCAAAAAACAAAACAACTGAGAACGTTTAACATTTATTAATTCATTTAAAAATAATAAACCCTTCATATTGCTAACACAAAATGTTTATTAAAAAATAACCTATTTTCCAAATCAGGTGCAGTGACTATATTCCCAGCTATTCAGGAATCTGAGACAGAGAATCACAAGTTTAAATCCAGCCTGGGCAATAGCAAGACCTTGTCTCAAAATAAAATTAAACTTGTGAGACTGAGGCAGAGGGATTAAGGTGTTTAATACCAACCTGGGCTATATAGCAAGTTCAAGACTCATCTGTACTGCATTGCAGTATCCTATCTGTAAAAACCAAATAGATAGATTGGATAGATAAGGTTGATTGATTAGGTACATAGAATTAAAGTAAATTTTAAAGCTTGGGAATATAGTTCAGTGATTGAGCTCTTTGCCTAGCATTTGTCTGGCTCTGGATTTAGTCCCACTAATGTGGGTAGGGGAGAATAAAATAAATTTTAAAAAACTTTTCCTAATAAAGTGCATTTAGTGAGGAGATTGACATTGTTTTGTATTTGTCAAATCTCTTTAGTTGAAATCAGTAGGTTTTTCCTATTTGCTTCTGTATTCAGTCTGTGAGATATAATTTAAGTATAATGAAGAAAATAAGGCCTCACACAGATGTGTAGTTTGGAAAGGGAGTATCTTAATATATACTAATTGTGGGGGTTTTTGTTGTTTTGAGACAGTCTTGGTATGTAGTTCAGGCTGGTCTTGAACTCACCATGTGGCCCAGGCTGTCCTTGAACTCTGATCCTCCTATCTCAGTCTTCTGAGTGCTGGGATTACAGGTTGTCACCACCACCCCGTCCAGCTTGGATGTTCTTTAATATTACAGTAGAACTTACTGAAGTGTAGTATTTTAAAATTTAATTATAATGTAGAATGTGAAATTGTGTCAGTGAAATTGTATACTCTTATATTAAAATCCACTGTGCTTTAAATGGGTATTTTTCTCATGAATCATTTTGTTAAATCATGCCTTGACCATTTGGAAAATACTGGTTCACAATATTGATGCATTTGATTATATAATGTCAAAGAAAAGATGACAGTAATCTCTCTGATGCCTTGAGAATTGGGAAGCTGTCAAGCTCCTAGTGATAGATATACATTTTCCAAAATTCTAATTTTCATTTGAAGGCTTTAATTTTATTATTGGCAACAAATACTGTGATTTATTTTCCTTAAAATGATAGGCTCACTTTGTGCCTTTTTGGAGAAAGAGAAATGGCCAAATACCCAAATCTGGATGAGCAGTTTGCATTCTCTGAGGTAAAAAATGTATTCCACCAGCTCCAAACTCAGTTACTGCTGAGCTTCTTCATGCAGCAGAAATTTTGTATTATGTACCCCCTATTTCATCACACGGAGTGTTAAAGAGACATATACTCAGAATTTGAGATTTATTAAAATTGATATTATTTACTGCTTCATCAAGGACATTCTTAAGTAAATCTGGCATTTTTAAAAGCTTTTTAGTGCATGCCAGTGACAAATCTAATGACAATGTACTTGCACTGTCTTGGTTGATTTTAAAGTACTCATTGTTGGGGCTGGGGGTTTAGCTCAGCAGCACAGCGCCTGCCTTGCAAGCACAAGGTCGTGAGTTCGATTCCCGGTACCGGAACAAAAACAAAAACAAACAAATAAAGTACTCATTGTTACCCATTACTTTTGTACAGTGTACAGTGTAGCTATCTACAGTGAGAAGGACAGTGGCATCTTATTATTAACATGAAAATGATTTTGACCTCGCAGATGCTTGAGGGAATTTTAGATATCTGTAGGAGACTATCAGCCACATTTATATATCCATTAAATTCATAGTGGTAAGCAAGGGAAGCAGAAGGAATAGGAAGAAAAATGGTCAGATTCAGCAGTTTTTTTTTACCAATCCTGAAAAAGTAAAAGGGAAGGAAGAGGTTTTGATGATTTTCACAAAGTAAAATGGATACCTGGGGTTTATCTCACTCCCTCAGTTGCATTCTCCCTTGTTACAATTAGGATTAAGTCTGCTTGGCTATAATAGCCACATATTTTACAGAATTCTACACTAAATGTGAATATTGTCAGAAGTCTTCCCCAGAAGGAAGATTAGTAGCCTATTATAAGAGCTCAGGTAACCACTCTCAGAATTGATTGTAAGTGACTTGTATTTAGATCTTTTGTAGAAACTGGAATATTATGATAGGGTAAAAATTATTAGGGTGTTAAGAGTAGGGAACGGGAACATGGCATTCTTTTAGGATTTTCCCCATATCCTACCATGTCACAGCCTAGACCTTTTGATTATCATTGTTCTTCTCACTTCTTCCCCTTAGAGTAAAGATGCAGAGATTAGTGACATAATAAATCTTGTATAATAAATGGCAGCTCATTGCCTTGAGTAAGGTGTGTTTATTTTGAACTATAATTTGTGCTCCTAAATATAGCCATAAATTGAATTATATATTTGAAATGTGTTAGGAAAGTTTGCTCTTTATTTCTAATCTTTTTAAAAGCAAATAATTGTCCATTAACTTTTATTTTAAAAATTAATAATGTACCTTTATAGTTGATGTGTATTTAGATTCCATAGAATTTTTTTCAGCTGTAGTACCTAACCTTTATTGTGTGACTGCTATATTGGACATTGGACCCATTGTCTGAAAGCAAACTTCTTCATAAAGTAATGTTGATTTTTTTTTTTTTCCCTCAGCGGAATGACTTTAATATCTATTATCAACCCACTGTCGGATTTTTACCTTTATTCACTTTGGTCTACCAGTGGCGACCTGGTGAATGGTCTCTTCCTCACTAGTTCCCTCCCCATTCGGTTCATCCAGAACACTGTTGTAACTATCTTCTTTGCATATTCCTATTCTACTAAGAATTATGCTTCCTACCATTACTATGTGAAATTTAATTAAACATTCTTTAGACTAGCTTTCATGACTATTTAGAATTTTGTTTCCCTCCTTACTATACTCTTGTATCATTCAGGACCCTCTATAACAGCTATTGTACTTACTAATTTGTGTTTATTATTTTGTATTTTTTTTCTTTGTAACAGAAAGAACATGAAACTTGGTGTTAAACATACCTTAACCCTTAATATCTCTGCTCTTAGATGATACACTTTACTTTTTTGAGCCTTGGCTTCTTCCTAAACAATAACAATTAGTTACTGACCAAGTACTATACTAAATGTGTTGCATATATTATCTTTTAAAATCTTCTCTACAATCCTACGAGGAAATTACTATTATTATTTGCAACTTATAGATGAAACTGAAACTCAGAAGAACAACTTGGCCACAGTGTTACTGCTTAATGAGTAGCAAATTCAAAGCCCCCCTTTTTTTTTCAAAGCCACCTTTCTGACTCCAGAGCCTGAACCATTACCTAACCATGCTGGGCATATAATATTTCTGAAAAAAATACTTTTTGATCATGATTGATTGCATAAATGATTGTTTAATACAACAGCATTGCTGAATTAGCCCAGAAAACTGCAGTGGACCTAATACTTCATTTAGTCCCTGTGTTTAACTGATTTCTACATCATTCTGTGTCATACAGTTTAAAGCTAATGGAACAAGATACTTGCAACCTTGAAGAGGAAGAGCGAAAAGCAAATAATAAAATCAGAGAAATAAATGTTCAAAAAGCAAAACTTGTTACTGAATTAACAAACCTAGTAAAGGTAAGGCATTTCTTTTTTTTTTCTTGTGTTTTTTTAGACAGGGTCTCATTACACAGTTCAGGCTGGCCTTGAGCTCACTTTGTAGCCCGGCTGGTCTCAAACTTGCAACGATACTCCTGCCTCAGCCTCCTGAGTGCTAGGATTACAGGTGTGTGCCGTCACGCGCGGTGGCGTTTCTTAATTGTAGCCATTTCTTAAAAAGTTATTAAGAGAAGAAAGTAAAATCTTTAGGGGACTTTATTGGAGGGAATGTCTTGATGAAGCTTTTCTGCTATTTGAGCTGTGTAAGCAAGAGCTTTTTATGATCAGTCAGAGCTTATGTGGATGACATTCTCTGTAGGTAAGAAATAAGTTAAAAACACTCATTAAATTATTTTACTCTGGATGTCCTTTTTAAATACGCAGGAGATTTTTCTTATAAGAACTGTTTGAGAGTTATCGGTCACAGTGGAAATGTTATTTTTTCATAATCAAAAAAAATGAAACTTTTTTTTTATAGTTCTAAAACATAGAATCTAAACTATTAGGGATTTTATTCCTAGATTTGTACTTCTTTGCATATACAAAAAGTAGATTTAATTCTTCAAAATACTACAGTGATCTCTGAGAAGAACAAATTAGAATCTGACTATATGGCTGCATCTTCACAGCTGCGTATCATAGAGGTAAGATTTTTATCCTTTATTTTTACTTTGAGATTTTATCCTCTACCCAATTTGGAAATACCTTGTGTTATCACTTATAATATGTTGTTGTTGTGTTACTTCATTTAGAAATTTAATGAAGAAATAGTAGTTGAAATATTTGAGTGCTGTGTAAGAGTCAAACTGTGAATCGCTTCTCAGCCTCTTGGCTAAGATCAAGTGAAGAGTCAGACTGCTGGGGTTTGGTGCTGGTCAGTTCATGAATCATCATGTGCTCAAATAAACTCTTTAAAATTAGCAAAAGGCTGTATAATCTCGGCAGTGTAATCTTATGTTACTATCTTACTGTGAAACAATAAATACTGAAAGTGTATAGGAAGAGGAAATGTGATATAGTGCATTAACTTAAATCCTAAAGAAGGTCTGGCAACAGTATGATAGTGACAGTTTGAATTTCCAAAATCCTTTTCCAAAAATAGGTCACCTACAATAATAATACCACAACGAACCAACACACAGCATGTACAACAGCCAAACTGTATCTTAAGGTGTCCCTGTTGATGTGCTGCAGTACTGACTGATGCTAATTACCCAGAGTTGGTGTCATCCTGGACAACTTTGGGCATAGTCCTTTATAGGACTTACCTTTCAAATACTAGCTTACGGGTTCAGAGATCGCACTTATACTTCTGACCAGCTGGGTATAAATTCAGGTCTTCCTTCTGAACCTCTCAGATTCAGTAAAACACTAGACCAACTAAGAACTCAGAAGAATACTACTTACAAGTGTAATTTCATTATAAGACATACCAATCAAAGCCAGATGAAGTGTAGAATTACATTTAGAGTGTTCGAGACATAGTCTTTGTATGCTTTTAATGTGGAGCCAAGAGTTGTGTCATTCTTGTGACATTGCTGTATGCTCTGCAATCAGGAAATCATGCTTTAGTGTTAGGGTTTCATCGAGGTTTTGTTAAATGGACATGGTTGATAGAATCATTAGTTATGTGATTGAACTCAGTCTCTAGCCTTTCTAAGGTTTGAAAGTTGTGATGATACCATATGATTAAAAAACCCAACCCTTCAATGACAGGGTTGATTTTTGTGGAATTGCCTGCCACCATTCCTCCTGAGTTCGCTTCTTAAGGTAAATTCAGCAGGGGGAGAAAAAACCTCAGATATGATCTACAGTGCACATAAATAACAGTGTTATCATTCAGTTTTTGTTTTTTTTTTGTTTGTTTGTTTTGGTCTTTTTGAGACAGGGTCTCACTATGCAGGTCAGGCTGGCCTTGAGCACACTTTGTATCCCCGGCTGGTCTCAAACTTGCAATGATCCTCCTGCCTCAGCCTCCTGATCACTCAATTTTAATGGTTTACAGGAACCAGTGATAAAGCTAGTCAAATTCTTTATTATATCATAGCTCTTAACTCCAAAATGCAAGTGGGAGATAAATTGGCGGTACCCTCAAGACTACCTTGGCATTAGCAAGGGAGTACTACTCAGAGAACTCAAAAATCAAGCTATCACAGGTATTCATCTCTAAAGGGAGGTGATGCCCCTAGGGGTAGAAAGCTCAGCAGTCCAATATGAAAGCAGCTAAACCTGCGAGGTGGCCTGGGAATAAGAAGACAAGATTAAAAGCTGCGCTCATTTAGACAGATCTTCTTGTTTTTCTCTTTTGGAAACCTCTACCAGTAAAACTTTTTTTGTGTGTAGTTATCTTGATTTTACCCCCTTTGTAAGACTTTTTTCTTTTTTTTGGGGGGATGGGGTTTTGGTTTTTGTTTTGTTTTGTTTTGTTTGGTCCTTTAGAGACAGGGTCTCGCTGTGCAGTTCAGGCTGGCCTTGAACTCACTTTGTAGCCCAGGCTGGTCTGGAACTCAGTGCTGGGATTACAGGCATGCGCCACCACACCTGGCCAAGACTTTTTCTTTAACATAGCATAGTTTGGTCATCTTACCCTCCAGGACCTCCCTTACCCTGGCTTCCCCCACCCAAGTTTCTCTTTGGGAGAGGAATTCAATGGGTATAATTTATATTGTTCTTATCCATCCCCCCATTTTTAATAAGACAAACATAGGAAAGTGGAATTGAAACAAATGCATCTAAATTTGTTTTCAGTTAACATTGTAGCCTTACAGAGAAAAAATATTCCAAATGACTTTAAACATCATAACTTGATTCTAAAGGCAAAAAGAATTACAAAAAATTGTTTTAGGTAATCATAGTTTAATATTTGTAATGTTATTCTGGAAATATTTTAATTGGAATTGGAAATACTAGAATGACTCCTTAATATGATTTTTCTTTAAAAAAAATTCCTCCATGCATGGTGGTACATGCCCATAGTTCCAGCATTTGGAAGGCTGAGGCAGGAAGATCGACACTAGTTTGAGGTCAGCCGGGCTACACAGTAACTTGAAAACCAGCCTGACCTATATAGTGAGATCATCTCAAAAAAAAAGAATCTTTTCTGAATCTATTGAAATAAAGACTTCAATTATGATCTTTCTATACTATGTTCTAGTAAAATGGCTTTTTGGAGAAATACATGCTCCAGGGCCAGGGAAAGAAATGTATACGTAAGTAACTTTATATCTACATAAGTGAGCTTTGATCATCTTGTCATACCAGAAAGAAAAAGGTAATCAAAAGATGGTTTGGTAGTTAAGACACAGGTACCTACATGAAAACTCTTGTATTGGCTGTAAACACATCAAAAATGTCTTAAGTATATAAATTTATAATGATAAAAATCATATTGGTCATTTTTGGAGAGAATTTAAGGTTCCAGCTCATTATTTTGAAAAATGATAAAGATGTTAGCATTTACCCTACCTTTCTGGTTTGTACTATCATTTAAGATAAAGAAATAAAGGGGGAGGGGGTCTCTACTAGAAGTATGCTTTGTTAGTACATGTTGCAGTAGGCAATGATTACATTCGTCGTGGAGAGTGGTACATACACGTAACACATCTTAATTCTTTTACTGCATGTTCCTTTCTGCTTCTCCCTCTGTTTCTAGATCCTCTTCTCATTTGCAAAACATCTATCTCCATGTTTTCTATTATCTTTTATTTTTCTTTTTAAATTATTTATGTTTTGGGTTTCTCATGTAAAAGAAACCATGTGATATTTAAACTTGTCTGGTTTATTTCACTTTTTTCATCTCTTTTTATTTGTATATGTTTGCAGTAGGTAATGATTAGATTCATTATGGGGAGTTACATAGTACATCTTAATTCTTTTTTTAATCCCCTTCCCCTATTGTATTCATCAATAATCATTAGAATAACAGATTTAATGATAGATAGATACATAGACAGACAGATTGACTAATTTACAAGGTAGGCTTTCAGTCACTACCTTCAGGGACAGGTGTGGAAAGTTACACAAAGGTTCTGCACTGGAAATACGAAGATTCCATTCAGAAGGCAAAGGCGTGGAGCTCACTGTAGAATCTCATGTGAGTCTGTGTCAGGGACCTAAGGATTCTGTGCTGCAAGACTGATGGGTCTACGATGGAAGCCAGGAGACTGGAGCTCCTCCTGAGAAACAGAAGCAAGCCTTCGTTTTGTCCTTTTTTATTCTGTTCAGGCTATAAACCTATTGATTGGTGTCAGTCACACCCGGAACTATGCCAAGCAAATCAGTTGAGCGTTTCTTACTCAAGTGTATACAAGAGGTAACCATCACAGTCCACCCTTGTCAACTTGACAACAAGACACATTTCCTTAAACCATACTTAATCTCCAGATACAAAAACAAGTTTATAGTTATGCCTACTGTGGTACACTGGCCTGTGTACAAATGGAAACACATTAATGAAGGCAAGTTTTTCTTTTGGTGATGTTTACTCCTAACATTTCATAACTTGAATATTACAACGTAGTTTAATAATAGTAATGAACCAGTATTAAGTATGTCATCACTGTTATATAGGAGGCATAAAAGAACAATTACAATCCTCGTTTCTGTAGCTGATCACAGGGTCATAACTGGTATTTATAACTACCTTGTCCTACTACCCATTTTATATTCTCTTGGTCTTCAACAAGCATTTCAGCAAGCTTGGTTTTTTTCTCAGTGGGGTGACTCATACTTTCATTCTTTTTGTCTTCCTGCCTGGGTTGGGTTGTTGTAGTTTCCCATTGAGCTTAATAACGGCATGGGAATACTAAGAGGCGCCCTAAGGGATCTCCTGCACTCCAAATGTATTCTTCCTTTCCTCCATGGTAGAGTAGTAGTCAGTTTCCCCTTGATGGTCTGGGTCAGTCACAGGGGACTTCACGGGTTGGCTTCAGTGAGCACTGCAACTCCCTTTTTCGCTTGTTTACTCAGAGGCAAGAAGAGCTCAGAATGACTAGGGGGAGTCATTATGCTTCTGGATACAAACTGTCCTCCCTACTGTACTAAAACTTCTAAGCCAGTAGAGCATACAGTCTTGGGAATAAGAATCAAAACTTTTACTATTCCCATTTCCATGTGGGTCTGTGAACTTTGGTTATGGGAGACACAGTACCATATAGTGGACACTAATTCAAAGAATATACAGCATGGCAAGCTATTGCTACCTAGCTGATTTTGTAACTGCATTTTCAAAAGACCATTCCAAAAAAAAGAGAAGACTATTCCACCTTTGCGTCAATCCAGCTGCTTGTGAATGGTGAGGAACATGGTAAGACCAGTGAATTCCATGAGCATGAGCTCATTACCTTGTTCTTTGGGTGTGAAATGTTTCTTCCTCAGAGGCAGTGTGTGGAATACCATCATGGTGGATGAGGCAGTCTGTGAGTTCACAGATGGTAGTTTTGGCAAAAACATTATGTGCAGGGAAGGTAAATCTATATCTAGAGTAAGTGTCTGTGGCAGTAAGGACATATCTGCCCTTTCCATGACTGAAGCAGTGCCTCATAATTAACTGGTCACTAAGGAATAGTGCCATATTGGAGTCTCAGCACAGGTCTCTGCTGCTGGCATATTGGGTGGTGGTATCCACCAGTGGTGGTAGCCAGAT